CGTTGTTAATTTTTAAATGCTAATTACCGGCCCGTGGATCGTGGGACCGTGGTAAGGTTTTTCGTGCATATTGTGACGGAGGCTGAAGATTTCTTACCATCAAATAATTAATCAAATATCAAGTCGTTTTGAATCATGGCTCTGCAATTATTTTCAGACCTCGAACAGGACATCAAAGGAAAGATTGTCACCGCATCTGATGAATTTGCCTACGAAAACGAGGTCAACAAATCTTGGAATGCTGTTAACAGGAATAGACGCCCGTTGGCCTTTGTCAAAGTCAAAGGAAAAGAAGATGTGAAAAAGACAGTAAAATTTTGCGCAAAACACGAGGTAGATTTCTAATGTTGTACACAGAGGGCTAAAACCAAAACGCCAAACGCCTCCTTTCAGTTGACTGAGGAAGGGAGGGGGGGGGGGAACTGAAAAAAAATCTTGCATCACCCTAAGCCCCAAAAAAATGTTACATACAAGAAAAAAAAAAAATCCTACACACCGCCAAGAGCCACGAAGAAAAAAAAATCTTGCTCACAAGAAATCATCCACCCCCCCCCCCTCAAAAGTTAAATGGACCGTCCCTTATAAAAGTTGTTTTAAGTATGCTCGATGGACGGATTGAAAAATGACCCTAAAAGGTTACGCATAAATGAATTCAGGTATCGATTCCAGACACTAAATAGGTTTAATTAATTGGGTTTTCATTAAAGCTGATCCTCGATTTTGCAGTAGCTGTGATCGCGGCGCTCCAAAGTTGTATCTCTTTTACATGTGCCCTATATAATATTGTAATTTTTAGCTTGAAGCCTGTGTATATAATGGAGGAACAAGTGTTTTCTGCATGAAAGATGAAGCTGTTGTAATAGATTTGTCAACAATGTGCAATGTCCAAGTGGATGCAGAAAATAAGGTGACTTTTATTTACTTTCCTTCATTTGCTACACTACTTTTCCTTTGTTTTTTTTCTAGATTTGATTTCATTATATATAATATTTCTGCCCAATCAATGATCACTCTATGTTTTTCTATATTAGACTGCAATTATTGAAGGAGGTGCAAAAGTGGCTGATGTAAATGAAGCATTAGGCAGGCATGACTTTGTTA